TATATATATATATATATATATACATATATATAGGTCTTTTTCCTCTCACACAGAGCTCCTAAACCTATTGGATAGGGTTGGGAGAAGCAACTTTGTTATTCATCATAAGCCTCTTTTTCCCATACCTGAGTTTACGCTACTGAGGTGACTCTTAGAGGATGGAGCTCATTATCAGAGGAATAGTCATGTGATTAGAGGATTAAAATTTTCTTTTTTTTGTTTTTTTGGGACAGATTCTCACTAGGCAGTTCGGGCTGTCTTTAACTTGCTATGCAGCCCAGGATGGCCTTGAACTCTCAGTGATCCTCCTGAGAGGCTTGAAACTTTCAACCCTAGCCCTTGTCTTTCATTTTCAAACTTGGGGAAAGGAAATAGAGACTATTCAGTCACTAAAGAGTGAATGACCAATGATTCAGCCAATTGTGCCCATGTAAAGGAATCTTCATAAAAACTCCTAAAGGAAGGAGTTTGGTGAATTTCTGGAGTGATGAACAAATAGAAGTACTGGCAGGGGGTGGTTTCTCCAGAGAAGGCATGGAAGCTCCTCTGCATCCTCTACTTCTCCTATATACCTTGCCTTATGCATCTTTTCCATTTGGCCACCCCTGAGTTGTATCCTTTATACTAAACCAGTAAACATAGGTAAAATGTTTCTTAAATTTGAGGAAGGGGTTGTAAGAAGTCCTGGTTTATAGCCAGTCAGAAGGAGGGCCCAGATTTTCAACTGTCACCTGGAGCAGGGCCATTCTTATGGGACCAAACCCTCAACTTGTGGGATCTGTTCCTATTTCCAAGTAGATAGTGTTAGGATTGAATTGAATTGTAGGACACCCAATTGGAGTCCACAGAGAATTAAAGAATTGCTTGGTGTTAGAAAAAACTTACACATTAAGGGTAAAAAGTGTAAGATTAGAAGAAACAGTTTTTTGGAGTTTTTAAAGCCCCAAGTTTCTTGAGGCAGGGATTACCTCGTGGTGTGTTGTTTGCTGATGGGACCTCTAACCTACACAGTGCTGAGGGAAGAAAATGGCTGCTAGCTGCAGAATAGGAAGCTAACTAGTGACCTAGACTTGTGACCTTGTAGCTTGCCTTATCTAATAGAATTGTCTGAGTCCACAGATAGGGACAGGAGGCTTTACACCTGTGCATACTTGTTCTTCCCACATCCAATACCAGTGATGCTTCACAGATGCCCTATGACAAGGCTGGCAGGGACCTATTCTTACCAATTGCCCTGCTGCCACCTCAGATCCAGCAGATCTAGAACTGAGCTCATGAGTACTGCTGGGGACAGGTTTCCCAATCTCACTGGCCCACCTCCTGGGTTGTGACTGGGATATACCTTTGACTCATGTTTCACTTCGGGCCAGCTCCCACGGGTCCACCCAGCTTGCTGTTTGCCAAGTACAAACTCATCGCTGGGCAAAGGGCCCGTATTTTTCACTTAAGGCCTTTCTGTTGCAGGAAAACAAACATATCATAGGCCCTTGGGAGTTGACACCCTTAACTGCCCTTCCAAATTCCACCCTGGTACTAAGGCCCCTGATGGGGCCAGGCACAGCTTATTAGTGGGCCCAGTCTGCTGAAATACAAGATCTTTCTTTAAAACTCTATTTTGTTGCCATCTGAGGCCGCTTGATTTTTTTTTTCTTTGCATATTATCCAGACTCCTGAAGCAATGGCTGTGCTTCCCAAAGCAGTTCTTTTTAATTGACCTTGTCCTGCTTATGTGAATTCTGTGAAAGCTTTTGACTCATCTTGAGTAGCTAGATGCTCTTGTATAATCTTGCCAACTGTTTTGACCTTAGCCAACTACATCCTGCCCTTACATGCTTCCCTGTCTTTTATGTAACACTCTCTCTGCCTGCAGTAGCATTCTCCTCCTTATCTTCTGAGAAAGCACCTGTTCAGCATTCAAGACTTACGGAAACTGCATACTGTACCTGCCTCTATCAGCATACCTCACACTATGTCATCTTTATTTGCTCATGCTTCTATCTTCCCTCTTAGACTGTGTGGTCCATGGGAACAGAGACCAGGTTTAATTTATCAATGTTCGCCAATGCTCAGCACATCAAGAGTTCAGGGGATGTTGGCTTCATGAATCCATCCATGTATTTGTAAGCATTTACTCATAAACTTCCTTGTGCCAACCATTCCACTGGGCATGAGAACATAGGGGTGAAAAAGGCAGACAGGGTCCCCCTGGTTCCATGGGGAAGGTGACCAGGTAGCAAGAAAACAAAGGTATTACTGGAATTACTGTGCCTCAAAAGGGCTGCTTTAGATGAGAGGTGTTGGAAAGCCTTTCCGAGAAGATACTTGGGGGCTGAGACCTAATAGATAAGAATAGTAAACTGTGCAGAGAACCAGGCACTGAGCTTAGGGAAGAGGGCACGGGAGGTGTGAACTTGCAAATGTCTGGAGTGGGGAGCAGATAGAAGCCCAGTACTCTTGACATATGAAAAGCCTTGGGGAGAGCACTTTGACGTTGGTCTGGCCACACTGCAGCATCTTTCTCATAGGTCACTGTAATGATTTTGGAATTTTCCCCAAGAGCAGTGGGAAACTTTTGGAGGGAAGAATTTCGAACTTTTAATGTCTTTTATGGCTCCTGATTTTGCCGTGCTTCTGCTATTTCCTCTTTGTCTGAGACCTTTTCTTATATCTTAAGCCAAGCTTGCTTCCTTTCAGACCCCAAGATTCCTCTGGAGCAATCTGGGTTACTGGTCTTACTGCAGAGAAGCTCTGGTCCTGGTTTCCACCTTGTCTGCCCCTGCCAGGCTCTGAGGTGCTTTTGAGGCTCCCAGAGCCCCTCATGAGCTCCCATCCTGTTAGGCAGATTGTGCAAGGATTCTTGGCCTGTGGGAAGCTGAATGCCTGTTGTTTCTGAGTCTTCTTTGGCCTTTGTCTCTGGAAACCACTGCCCTTACTCCTCCACATTCAGAGTGACTTGTCTTCTGTACCACATCCGTCTCCTCCAGGTGAACCAGCCTCTTGAGCATATCAGACTGCCCCCTCCCTGGCCCCACCCTATTGTAGATGTCCTGTCAAAAATAGATCTTGAGGTTATCTGCTTCCTTAAAAGCACAAAACAAAAATAGCTAATATATATCAAGCACTCACCATGTGCAAGAGAACATAGTTAAGTGCTCTCCATGAAACTTTAATGACTCGTTAATTGTGATGTTGATCTTGTGAGTTAGATGCTATTACCCCATTTTGTGTCTGAGAAAATTGAGGCTCAGAGATCACAGTACATGGCAGAGCTGGATCTGAACTCAGGCTGTGACCCAAGTGCCTGAGAATTTAACTGCTGCTGCCTGGTACAGTCCAGCATTGCTCTTTGTGGTCCTGAAGTCCTTATCCATCTCACCTTCAAAGCCACTACTGTGTGGTGCCCACTTTCTTCACTCCAAAGATCCAACCTCACAGGAATAGTTAGCAGAGACCCTCAGAACCATTAGTCCACTGGCCTGAAGCAGGCTTGAGTGAGGGCGCCAGGCCTCTATTCTTCAAAGTACTGATGCCTGTCAGGCACACTGGTAGGTTTTGCTGAGTGAGCAAACACATGACAACTCCTGTTAGGTTTACAAATTCTGCTATAAGACTGTCCCTTCTATCCAGGAAGGAGGTTGGAAGCTGGAAAAATAAGAGGAGGCTGCAAGAAGACAGTTTAACTGGGTTGTCCAGACATGGAAGCAATTAGCCCAGGGCGAGCATGTGCAGTTAGGGCTATTGGTAGGGCCTTCAGAGGGGAAATTCAGCATTAGGAAATGGTTGTACTCTATGCTTGGAGATGTTCCTCAGCCATGAGAGGGTGGCACTCTGAGCTTTGATTGGTGCTGGGTAGACTGCAATTTGGATGGCCAGCACGGTGTTCCTCAGACAGCATTCTCTCCATATCACTGTGCCTGTAGCCTAGGAAGGTGGGACATATTTGGCCATTTGGAGCCTTGAAGGTGGCAGATGAAGCTTCTCCACCAGGGTCACACCCACCCAAGGGAAGTACTGCAGGTGTGAGGAGATGCCGCTGTGAGGCAGTGGAGCCTCTTCCAGTGGTGACTGGAGCTTCTGGAGCCTGGGCCTTTCAGCCTGAAAAGGTGTAACAACTGCATCTTGCTGCCACAGGTGACTGGAGAGCCCTGGTGGCTTTTTATCCTAGAAGTGAATGGAATCATATGCTGAAGATTTTGGAAAAAGAGCACTGTGTCAAAGAGGAGAGGCCAAGCAATGTCAGACTCTACCCTTGGGCTACCAGGATTCTTTATGAAAGTGCACTGTTTGATGATGGATTTAAAGTATTTTGTGGTCTTAGGTGCATGATGTGGCGATTCTGTAATTTTTTACTTTGTTCCATATTTGGATTTTCAGTAACAGGAGGAGGACACTAAGCAGGAAGAGGAATCATGGCTTCTGATGCTAGTCATGCACTGGAAGCCGCCCTGGAGCAGATGGATGGAATCATTGCAGGTATGCCCAGGAAATGCATTGCTTGATATGTAGCCCTAAACATCTCAGAAACTGACTTCTCTCATTTTTCCTTTTTTGTTTTTTGCTTTTTTGCACACAGAGAAACCCTTTATTAGGTTTATTTTTAAGTAGTTTTATGGTGTAGGCTCTCTCTCTCTCTCTCTCTCTCTCTCTCTCTTTACATATGAACTTGTAGAACTCTTAATATCTAGTGTGATAGTTTAGGGGTCTCTGTTGAAACAGTGTGGATATATCATGTGCATGTGTATAACACCATCACAGTTTGGGTCCTGGCTGCAAGGCTGTTTAGGTGCAGTGAGATTGACTTGATTGTAAATTTTTCAGAGCACATATGCTTATTAGAGTAGAGCTGAAGCTTGAAATCGAGCAGACTTTGCTACCTAATCAGTGTCTGCTCACTTCCCCTGCTGGTCCTCAGTGTGCTTAGGAGACAGGAGACAGTTTTCTACTGATTCACTTAACGTTCTTTATATCATATTGCCTTTTATCTATCTCAAGTGTTTGACTTCAATATCTGCTTTTGCTGATAGGGGACTTTGTCTGGAAAGGATCTTACAAGCCTGTGGCTGGTTGGAAAAGACTGCCAGTTGGCTTTTCTAGCTGATTAATTCCTTGATGGGAACTGGAAAGTTGTATGGGTTATAACAAGTCTATTACAGAAAACCTTTCCAAAAGCTCCTAGGTCATCTTTCTTAGCTGGTACAGTTCAGAGTGGCCTTCTTTGCAAACAGGGTATACTTAGTCAGGACTTAGCTCCCTGTTGTGAGCAGTGCCTGCAGAGATGGGGAAAGAAGGTGAGGACTGAGTGTGACTGCACCACATGAAGAGCTCAGGATACCTGACACTGCCCATTTATAGGAATTTGCTTTTCCTTCCTTCTCATTGCAGATCTGACTCATGGAGAGTTCTGGGTGTTAGAGCCTGGGGTGAGGGAAGTTGTCTGCGTCTCACAGCTTCATCATATGGGTGGCACTGTAACACAGTCTAGCTCTCATCTCTCAGGCTCTTAATTTCCCTATGAATAGAAGTGCCCAAGAGAGTCATGTCCTACTTTCCAGAGTCTCCACAGATTGGGGTGTCTTCTTCTAGGTTAGGGTGTTTGATGAGATTCAGAAGAAAGCATCAAGAGTGAATTCTATTATTCTCATGTTGGTCTCCTTGTTTAGTATCTGCCTTCTGTACCTGAATGTAAGCTCCACAGGGACACTTAGCACTGTCATTGTATCAGCAGTGCTTTGACTCGTCTGCAGTGTACAATAGGTGTTTAATTAGTATTTGTCACATGTATGTTTTGTTTACTTTTGTGAATAGGATCTCTTCATTGATTAGAAAGCAGATATTGGTTTTTGTATATATCCTCTATCTGGCTGTATACTCAACTTCATTTATTATTTTCTACGCCTTTGTTTAGCAGATTCTTTCGGAATATCAAATGACTAAGTATTTTTTTGAAAATTTAAAAGTTTGTGTATCCTGTGAACTATCTCCTGAGTTGTAATTAGCCCATACACACATTTGACAGAAGCTGTCTGACAGATAGTTCAACACTGAGGTCATTAGTATCTGGAGGATGTGCATTCTATGCTATTCTTGATGAAGAATGATAATTATTGAATTCTGTTCAGGATATTTTTCTTTAAGATTATTAATACCATCTTCATTTTCAAATAGCTGAGCCAAATTGGGCCAAAGAGGTTAAGAATTTTTGTGATTATTAATGTAGTCCACAGGGTTAGACTGTTGGGGATTGAATCCCAGTGACCTGGTATTGGGTGTTGGATCTTTGGACAAATTACTTAATTCTTCTGAGCAATAGTTTCTTTATAGATAAAATAGTGGTAATAATAGTACCTGTCTTATATTATTGGTAGGATTAATTAATGCAAATAAGGCACTTAGAATAGTGCCTGGCACTAAGCAATTGCTCAATTGGTTTGTTATTGTTTATCGATATTAGTATTGATACTATTTTTACTACCTAAAGACATAGTTCTGGTAAATGGAAGAACTAAGATTTGAATTCAGGGCCATCTGACTCTCTTCTAAGTGCTTTATTCCTAGGTAGGTTTTATGTTCATGTGTGGGTTATCTATAGGAGAAGAAAGTCCAGTGGGGGAAGATGCTGTTAAGTTCTACTTACAACCCCTTAGCCAGAGTGGTTGTGTTCATCTCACTTCATCTCATTACACACTATTCTTTCCATGTAAGAGTTCCTTTGCTTTAGCAGTGGCACAGCTAAAGGAAAGTTTGAAACTATGTTAACCTATTATAAGACCACAGATTCTGCAGAAATGATATTTTTGTGTGAACATTTAAATCTTCCTCTCTTTATTCATATTTTCTGATTAATTGAGGTTGAATGAAATTAGGCATCACTACCACAAAAAAGTTACAAGTACCCAAACAAGAACTCCGGATCTGTATTCTGTTACTTTTAAAAAGTGGAATTATCACTTATATCAATGAAATTTTTATGAGCTTCCTGTACTCATCAAATAGCAGCCACTTACACAAACAGCACAAATATCTACTAAAATAAATGCAGTTCCTTCAGTGATGATTATTAATAATTATTACATATCAAAGAATTTCTCTTTATAATTACTCTGCATTATGATAAGTTACACTTCACTTTCCAAAACTCTTTCCCCAAAATTTGTACTTTGGTTGGGCATATGATATTAATGTTTGTGTAGTTAATTTTTAAAACAAAAAAAGTATCTGCTCCCTTCCCCCAGTTAGTGATTATCACTGCTATACACAGCCAGGGCAGGAGTACTCTGAGGTATATCCTAAAGCACAGGTGGCAAATACGGCCCCTCCCCCAACAGTGTGACCACCCTTATCGCAAGGTGTTCAGAGACTTGGGACAGGTAAGAGATAAAAATCAGTTCTTTTAAGTGTAGAAAGAAATGCTTTGTAAGCAGGATTGTCATATAACCCTCTTGTAAACTCGAGTTCTTGAAATGTGAATGGGTGTATCCCAGGTGTGACTGTACTTAATTGTACCCCCCAAATTTTATATCAGAAAATTGGAAAGATCTAGGATCTGTTAAAGATCCTAGAACCAGTGTCAATAAAGATGTGTTTCTAATACAAAAGACCATTGTTACAGCTTCCAGTAGGATGTTAACCTTTGATCTAATCTTCCTCCTCATTAGCCCCTGTGATTCTGTCTGCAACTAACACTGTAATTGAATTACACTGTTGACAGTTGAAATTGAACTATATATTTCTTAATTACTTCCCTCTGGATGGCACAGAGCAACTGCCATGGATGCTAATTTTACATAAGGCTTAATTTGTGGGCTCACAGGCTACTCTATCAGGCTACTTCTGGCATAGGACCAGCAAGCTATGTGGTCAGAACACAGAGGACCTCTTATTCCTTCTTGCTGTGGCAGGAACTTACTTATGTAGTTATCTACAAGCTGCTCTCAATGATAAGGAATAGTTAAAAGGAGTATTTTATGACAGTTAAAAAAGAGGTCGCCTGGTCTGCTGGCCTTTCTGCCGTGATTAGTGCCTATGTTTGTAAAGTAAATAAATAAATAGTTATGTGGGGAGCAGAAAAGATTCTGGCCAGGTCTGAGATAATTCTCCTTGGCCCATGACTGTTACCAGCTGTGGTGTCAATGGCTGATGATGGATGAGTCTATGCTCTGAGTACTCGGGACAGTCCTTACCTGATCCTGTCCACTACTTCTCTGAGGCAGACCAGCCGAGAGCTATTAATCAGTCATACAGCATGAGAACCTAGACTTGCCTGTTTCCCATTCAGGATTTAGGCTGAGAGCCTCGATGGGAGTGTGGCCTCATTTCTGTTATCTCTTAGAGAGTTTGGATGTGACTGGAATTATTTGTTCCTTAAATACTTGCTGTAGTATAGGAACTTACCTGAAAAATCCTTCTGTTTTCTTGTTAGAGGATTTTCTTTCTTTTTTAATGGTTATCAGTTGTCAGGCATTAATTTATTCTTACTTGATGCTTGGCAAGTTGTATTTTTCTAGGAATGTGTACATTTTGCTGAGGATTTCAATTTTGTTAGCATTTTGTTGGCCATTCCATTTCAAGATTTATTATACTTGTTATATCTGTTTTCATTCCTAATATTATTTGTGCCTTTTCTCTAGTTTTAATTAAATTTACCAGAGATGACTCTTTTGTTTTTGTTATATTCTTGAGACAGGGTCTCACTAAGTAGTCTAGGCTGGACTTGAACTTGCTAGGTAGCCCAGATTGGCCTCAAACTTGTAATCCTCCTGCCTCAGTCTTCCAAGTACTGGGATTATAAGTGTGCCATCTTGCCCCGCGTGAGATGGTCTTTTTTTATTACAACTTTGAAAGAACATTTTTTGCTTCATTGACCAAGCCCGATTATATGTATATGTATGTATTATTCTGCAAATAGTTACATGTATTGATAGCTACGCATTATAGATCTGTGCTTCATGTATTTGTATTTAATGTCTCATATCTGTTCATCATTTTTTTCTCTACTTTCTTAGATAGATCTCTTCTATTTCAAAACCCACCTTTAAGAATCAACCAATAATACGTATTTTAAATTGACTTCTAATTTAATTGTTATGATTAAAGTGGTCTCTGACACTGACTTTGTGATTATTTTGGTTGTTTCATGGCCTAAACTAGAAAGGACATTTTTCATTTATGTTCTATAGGTGCCCATGAAGTGTGTGCATTTTTTCCAGTTAGGTGCAGGGTTCTATATTTGCCAGTTATATCTAACTTGTTAATTGTTTAAATCTTCTCTAGCCTTACCGATTGAGTATTTATTTATTTATCCATTTATTTATTTATTTTTGGTCTACTTGAGCTTATCACATTCTGAGAAGTTCCTATTAAAAGCTTATGCAGAGGTCTTCTGTCTGATGTCTCCCTTTGCTAAGGGCTTAAGATTTGTTTCCTGTCTCCCTCAAGTGGCTCATTAAAGCTCAGGTCTTAGGACATCAGGGAGTTGACAGCTCTCATGCTTTTATCCTTGAGCTCCAAAGATTTCTCCCACTTCAGTTGCTTTAAAAAAATGTATGTATACATATGTGTTTTTCTATGTGTGGGTGTTCTTTGCAGGTTTTTTTCTGTATAAGTAGTCTACTCTCTGCCCTATAGCTGTTAGAGTGCTTTAGCATTCCTTGGCTCTTGGTCTCATTCCTCCATTTTCAGAGCCAGCAGTGGAAGGCTGAGCCCGCTTGTTGCATCTCTGACCTATTATTCTGCCTTCTTCTTCTGACCTAAGAATTCATAGGATTAAGGTTACTACCCCATCTCAACAACCTAAACTTGAGTCTCATCTGTAAAATCCCCTTTAGCATGTCAAATAACACACTGACAGGTTCTAGGGTTAGGGTGTTGATGTCTTTGGGAGACCATTGCTGTGTCCACTGCACTGGTCACTAAATAACTTCCCCTCAATTCCCTGCTCACTCTGAAACAAATTTAAGGGCAGACAAATGTTCATATAGAGATCAAATTATCAGCTAAATGGATGCACATTGAAGCGATACTCTTTTTTTTTTGTATTAAATTCTTTTATTGGTACATTGTAGGTATACAACACAATTACATTTCTCATTGGGAATTGTACCTTTACGTAATGCATCTTGGTTCTTATTTTTTCCCCATTCCTAGCCCTCCCTTCACGCCCTCCATCCTTGCCTATTTACAAAGACTTTATTTCCATTTTTTCCATTTCTCATCATTTTTTCCTTTCCCTTCTTTCCTTTCCCCTGCCCCTCCCACTACCCCTACCCCTTTGGACCTTTTCTTCCTATTTTACATTATCGATTATTCATTCTAATCATTGGTACATTTTAGGTATACAATATAATGACATTCATCACTGGAAATTTGCACCTTTACATAGTCTCTCTCAGTTCTTGTTTTTCACCTTTGCCCAGCCCTCCCTTCAACCCCTCCAGCCCTATTTACAAAGATTTTGTTCCTATTTTTCCATTTTCTCATATTAATCCCATTCCCTTCTATCCTTTCCCTTAGCCCTCCCACTTCCTTCCCCTTTGCCCCTTTTCTTCCTATTTCACATTACCTATTATACATTTAGTCCTTATTTACACTTTCAGTTTCTCACACCAGAAAAACTATTTGGTATTTACACATCTGTGTCCTATTTATTTCACTTATGAGTATTGCCTCAATGTGCATCCACTTAGCTATAAATGTCTCTAATTTATCATTTTTTATGGCTGAGTAGTACTCCATTTATAAAAAAACCACATTTTCTTGATCCAGTCTCCAGTTGATGGGCATTTGGGCTGTTTCCAAGTTTTAGCTATTACAAACTGCACTGCTATGAGGTGATACTCTTAAGTGAAATAAATAGGACTCACGTGTGTAAATACCAAATAGTTTCTCTGACGTGAGAAACTGAAAGTGTAAGTAATGATTAAAATGAATAATTGATAATGTGAAATAGGAAGAAAAGGTCCAAAGAGGAAGGGGAATTGGGAGGGGTAGGGGAAAGAAAAAAGGGAATGGAAAAATTATGAGAAAAGGAAAAAATGGAAACAAAGTCTTTGTAAATAGGGAAGGGTGGAGGGGATGAAGGGCGCACAGGAAATGGGGGGAAAATAAGAATCAAGATGCATCATGTTCAGGTACAAGCACCTAATGATAAATGTAAACGTATTGTATACCTAAAATGCACCAATAAAAGAATTTAAGGAAAAAACATTATCAGCTCAAAATATTGGAGACCCCACTGATAGGAACACAGAGGAAAATGTTGACCAGGATGCCTGTGGCTTTTGGCTTGCTCAGCATCTGCTCCTCCTCTGGTAAGAGCACGCCAACTGTCCTCCAGGAGAACGCACACTTCCTGAACCCATGTCCCCTGTAGATCAGGGGAGACTAAACCGATTCCAACGAGGACTAGCAGCAGGTTCAGACCAGCCAACCCAAGTCCATGGCTTGACCTAAATCTATAGTTAGTATCATAAATACCACACATCCTACACATACATCCCAAATTGAGAATAACCCCATGCTACAAACTTCCATTTTGCAGATGGTTTCAGAAAGCTTTTTGCATAGACAGTGCCTACATCCAGAAGATGAGCAGCTATGCAGGGAAAGAATTCATTCTTTCAGCTCTCTAATTAGAAGAATTCCTCCTTAGGGAAAAATTGAGTTGAGGGCAGGGGGGAGAGAGTAAACTCTACAAAGGTGGCTTCCTTCCTCCCTACAGAAATATGAAGACAAGAATAGCTTAGTCTATTTTGTGCTACTACAGCAGAGTACCTAAGACTGCATAATTTATAATGAAAGAATTGTTTTTCATAGTTCTGGAGGCTGAGTGGCATCAGATGCCAGATAGTGGCATCTGATGGGCTTTCTCACTAATGGCAGGAGGCAAAGGAGTGATAGTGTGTGATTGTGGGGGAGAGGGATGGGAAAGAACTCATCCTTTTATTAAAAACCTAAGACTCTGACTTGTTTGTGGATTGTGATCCATGATTCCCTTTATTATACTCATTCAAAAAGCAAACTGGCAGTTAAATGTTGTAGTAATTGTTTGCTTCAGTGTGGATCTTTCATTCCCAAACTACCTTACAAGTACGAATTTGGTTCCTGGGAGAGTAAAGGGACTAGAAATTAGACGTCAGGCCTGCAATGTATCCATGAACATGATAGCCCTACAGCTCACATTTTCCAAGAGTCCTGATTTCAACTATTTTACCCTATTGGCCTTAAAAGCAATCCAAATGCCTTAGTAATTTCACCATCTAAATTAAATTTTCTAAAGTGTTTCTTATTATTTAAAGAAGCACAGAAATTCTTTATTAGACTGTGTCACCCTAAGTTTTGTTTGAAAAAAAATATATCACAGTACTTAAGGAAAGAACATTTTTTGTTGTTGATAAATGATGGGGGTTAGAAAGGCAAAAACAGTCTTATTTGGTGTGCATCAAATTAGAAAAAACTGACTCAGTATCCCAGATCTCTGAGGATGCCCAGGCACTTATACTCTTTATCTTGTCATTGAATTGTATGTGCAGGCACTCGAACATGTCCCACTTCAACGTCTACTAGGTAGAGGGAATGATGCTGGGAACTCAACTAAGTACAACATAGACTCTCAGATACTTCACTGTCCAAAATGGGGAGATGTGATACATAATAATAACAGTTAATTGTTAATCCAATATAGAGTTGACAAGAATTGCTAAACCTCAGGGAAGAAAACAGACAGATGTGGAGTAAGACTGTCAGTCTTCAAATAATTGCTAATAATAATATTTAAGTCAAGTTGCCAAGAATATAGTGGGAAATATGGCAATCTCCCAGTGGGGAATATTCAGAAAGATTCTGACTCACTAACCCATCACCAAAATGAATGTAGTAGTTATTGTCTATTGTTAGGAAATAAGTTAATCCAAACATAGTGGCTTAATTCAACCACTACCATTTGTTGCTTTATAATTCTGTGATTTTGGTAGTTCTCAGCAGGGATGGCCCATATGGTATCAACTAGGTGGCTCATTTGGGCTGGAGCCTCCCAAATGGCCTCTTGCTCATGTCTGTCACTGAGGCTGGGATGGCTGGGACAGTTGGGGCTGACTTTCTAGTGGGTTAACTGGGGTTAGCGGGGTTTTGTTATGTGATGGGTTCGGGTCAGAGGAGAAGAGTACGAGCTGTTAGACCTTCTAACAGGCCAGGCAAGCACTGGCACAGTCACATCCACTGAATTCTAGCATTATGAACACCCAGATCAAGATCTATCTCTTGATGAGGGGAGAGAAATATCTATATAGGAATGTAAACAACTTTTAGTGGCCATCGGTATAGTCTACCACATTGGCTTAAAGGAAAACAACTGAATCCACCTATAATCTGAAGAATGGAATCTCAGTATTTTAGCTGCGATGTTTTTGTCTCTGGTGAAGACTTTCTGTGTTCTTCCATTTGTTTAAGTGTGCAATTGTCAAGTATCAGCCTCGGTAGGCTATATTATACACTTCTGTTATGCTTTTTCCTACCATGTCCAGCCCAGATCACAATAGATGATTTCTGCAAAGTTTACACCGGTGAGTGATTCTGGCGAGGCAGAAATAAGCTTCTAGGCTTCTCAAGCCCTTTCCTCTCTACTTTCATTGTCTTTGCTCTTGACTTGTTAAATGATCACGGTATCTACCTTTTTTACTGAGGTTTCTCACTCTCTCTGTTGTTTCAGGCACTAAAACAGGTGCCGATATTAGTGATGGTACCTGTGAGCCTGGACTGTCTTCTCTGGCCTCCTACAAGAACCTCTTCCCAGTGCTTCATCTCATTGAGGACTTGAGACTGGCCCTGGAGATGCTGGATCTTCCTCAGGAGAGAGAGGCTCTCCTGAGTCAGGTCCCTGGCCCAACAGCTACCTACATAAAGGAATGGTTTGAAGACAGCTTGGTGAGTAGGCTTATGGCCTGAGTGGGTAACCACTGAGAAACATCATCATGCAACCTGTGGAATGCCACCATTGGCTAGGGCTGTTGAGCCATCCTACACTCTCCAGCCTTTCTTGTTTCCCATCCAGCTATGGGTAACTCCTGCTGGGTGGTCATTCCTAACAGTAGTGCAAAGCTCAGCCAAGTAGCTTAAATTATCCTACCTGCCTGTGAGAAGAAGAAATCCAGGGCCAGAAAAAGGTAAACATGGAAGATCTCCCAACCCCGGGATTACACATACTACTTGCTGAGTTATAATCCTTGACTGGGGTTTCTTACCCTTAACTGGATTCCATGACCTCTTTATTCTTAACACAATCCAGACACTGTTTACTCTTACTTTACTTCTGCCCCTACTTCTTGCCCTAGAACTACTTCCTGTCCCTAAAGTGGAGTGCAAATTTGCTAACTCTCCTTTACCTACTCTCTAGACAGGCATGCAGACTTGCTCATCTCTAAGCTGTAAATCTATTATACCTTTGGTTACTCATCTGTTTCCTTATTTTCCTTATGAAGACCACCAGTTTATCTTTCAGAGACTAGTAGTATCTGCAAATGAATGAAATGAAGAGCTAGCCTATTGGGGAGACCATCTAGAATGCAACTATCCAAGGACTAGAGGCAGGATGCTGGAAGCCAGAGGAAGAAAGTATATTATTACCTAAGCTTGGTTTAAGGATGAAGTCTGAAATGGAGTCTTCTAAAGCTAGAGTCCTGCAGACCTGATTCAAAATTGAAAAGTATGCATTCAGGTGGGAGGGCAGGAACAGGAGCATTAAAATGGGAGGGAAAGGTTGATGTTGAAGACCACAAACCAAGGACACTGAGACACCCTTGTCTGGAGGCCATTGTCAGATGAGATTAGATAGGCTGTATCCCAGATGTCCTAGGCTACTTTCTGTTTCAGAGGCTTCTGTCAATATAGTTGGATCCCTATGCCTCCTTCTGAACATTAAACAGTTCTCCATTATATTCATTATGTGTGTTATTCAATATTTTCATTATGTAAGCTGTCTACCTGGTGTTCTGTGTAATCAACCTATACCAATATGGCAGGCAGAATCATATTGATGGCTGGAACCTGAGAATGTTACCTTAGACAGTAAAGGGGAAGCTTGCCTATGGAATTAAATTAGTTTTAAATCTTCTAACTTTAAAATAGAGAGAGTGTCCTGGACTATCCATGTGAACTCAGTATATTTACAAGAGTCCTCATAAAAGCGTGGTAGTGCACACCTGTAACCTCAGCACTCGGGAGGCAGAGGCAGGGGCAGGAAGATCACCTGGGCTACATAGTGAGTTCAGGGCCAGCCTGAACTACAAAGCAAGACCTTGTCTCAGAAAGCCAAAAAAAAAAAACCCAAAAAAACCAAAAAAACCAAAAAAACCAAAAACCAAGAGCTTTCTCTGCTGTTCTCTGTACTCTTTCATTGGGCTCCAGAGCCTTATTTGCTCCTTCTCAGAAATGTGTGTGACCATCTCAGAATCAAGAGATTAATTGAAGGACTTTTCTGAACAAAAGCCCAATCTACCCAAAATACAAAATTTCCTTTTTTTTTTTAATTCCTCACTATACAATTTACAATGACCATGGATGGTCCTCAGTAATCTTCTATGCATGTACCTTAACTTTTGTGATAATTTTTCTAATATTGACATTTTGATTACTTGTTCTTTTCTCTAGATATTTCCTAGAAGTATAATGATAAAACTTAGGTAGAGTTTACAGATAAAATATAGAATGCCCAGTTAAATTTGATTTTAGATAAGCAATGAAAAATTTTTACCAAGTATGCTCCATAGTTTGCAAAAGCTGACAACTCTACTCCAAAAATGTTGGCATCTTTAAGCCTCTTGAGAGATTTTTTTCAAAGTCACTTTTCAGAAAGATTTAACCATTTATATTTTCTTTTTTTTGGTATTAAATTCTTTTATTGGTACATTGTAGGTATACAACACAATTACATTTCTCATTGGGAATTGCACTTTTACCTAATGCATCTTGGTTCTTATTTTTTCCCCATTCCTAGCCCTCCCTTCACACCCTCCACCCTTCCCTATTTACAAAGACTTTATTTCCATTTTTTCCATTTCTCAGCATTTTTTCCTTTCTCTTCTTTCCTTT